ATATGGCTGCAAATAATGATAATAAAGTTGCATTATATAACTTAGGTGAAATTTATGAAACAGGAAAAGGTGTTTGTAAAAATTAGACGAGAGCATTTGAATTTTTTGAGAAGTCAGCTAATCAAGGATATTTGGAAGCTCAATATAAAGTTGGATATTATTATGAGCGTGGGATTGTAGTTGACATGGATAAAAAAAAGGCTTTGGATTTATTTAAAACAGCTGCCGAAGAAGGAAATAGCAATGCGCAAAAATGTCTTGTAAATTTAAATGAATAACAAGGTGAAGGAGCAGAAAAATATATTAATAGTGCTTCCTATTGGGATAAGAAGGTTAAAGAAAGTTTGGATCTTCTTTTAATGAACAAAAGGAATATAGTCAAGAACAAAATCAATTGTAAATTCATATTTTATAAAAGGAGACTCATAATATGATGCCATGTATATACTGTATTTTTAAATAAAAAAAGATTAAGCATAACCTGCGGCGACCAACATCGCACCACTACTGCGCCTCATATGATATTATCGGTTAAAAAAATTTAAAATTAAGACGAAAATAAAAAAGTGTTTAGCATTTAAAATTTTTTACTCTTGTGTTGCAACAGATCTGAAATTTATTATAAAAAAGAAAAAATTCCGGCGACCGAAGGAAGCCGAGCTCAAATTACTACTATAATTCAAGCCGGCCTGGCCGGCTTGAATTACAGTAGTAATTTGAGCCAATTATTCAAATAATATTTGTTTAACAAACATAACCAACAAAGTTAAGCAGAAACTATAAAGTTGCTTTGCTGCTTGGTACATTTCCTGACGATATGACCAGACCACATTTTCCATATATATATTTCGTTTACTATCATTTTTGTTTGTGACTTCAGCATCAAGTTCATCATTGGCATATACTTCATTAGAATTAAGAGTGGATAAAGGATTTCTTGATGTAGTTGAATGAGACTGTTGCGTGTTTACATGTAAATTTGGATCGAGTGGATTAATTGCACTAGTATTTCTACTATGATGTAAACTCTCTGATGCGGATTTAATTCTTTATTTCGTTAACGTTAAATGTAAATAAAACATCTCAATCAATATTAAATCAAAAGCTTGTCTTTTATCATCATATTTGTATCCATTAAGAAAAATTAAATAAGAAAGAAAAAAAAATGGTTTTTTGAATAAAAGAAGGAAAAAAAAGTTGGATTGTGAATAGAAGAAGGAAAAAATTAGTTTCGTGAATACGAAGAGAGAATTTATATTTATAAAACAATAGTATATTTTATTAAATCGATGATGTAATAATTAAATAATTGTATCTCGTGAACCGGCGCTCATCACCGCCGGTTATTTAAAGTTAAATTCTTTATTTAATTTTTTTTTTTGATAAAATGAAAGTAAAGTATTGCAAAAGAATAGAGTATAGATAATTATAAGTTAATTTCAAATGGTGTAAGTATTATATTTGAGAAAGTAAACATATTAATACTTATGGAGCCTATTTTTTTAAAAAACTTAAATTAACCTATAATTTGACTTTCTAAATTATATTTATATAAATATATATATATATAATTTAAAAATGCATAATACTCGATTATTGATGCTTAACCAAATCGAAGATGCTCTGAGTTTGAAGGTTGGATTTTTGTCCTGATGGATA